TTCCTTAATGCTCACAGAAAATATTTAGTAAAAATAAAAAATTTGCATTTTTTAACAAAAAACATGGGTAAACACTGATTGGTTTTAGTCAGTTTTTACAAATTCATACATAAATCGTCGTACAAACTATTTATTTTTACCTTCACCTCATCGTGAAGTTTGAAAATTATAGTAATACTTTACGTTATATTCTTGTGGGTGGAACGCAATTTTAACAATGTTTTGGCCTCACTACTATATTTTTCCTTTATTTTTTTGTTTTCGATTTAAATAGTCTACTAAATATACATTTGTTGCTCAATAAATCGTAAATCCACTTCCAAATGTGTAACATCCCACATAGTCAGTTTCTACAACTTCGTACATAAATCGTTGTTAATTTTTCACCTTCACCTCACCATGAAGTTTGAAGATTATAGTAATACTTTTTGTTATATTGTTGAGGGTGGGACGCCATTTTAACAATGTTTTGGGCCTCCCTACCATATTTTTCACTTATTTTTCACTTATTTTTATAGTTTTCGACTTAAATAGTCTACTAAATATACATTTGTTGCTCAATAAATCGTAAACTTGCTTCCAAATAAATAAATGAAATAGAAAAGGATACGATCGGTACTTTGATACCGATTTTCCACCGTAACTGTCGTTAGTGTATTAGCAACAGTTCCATGTATGAATCGTTAGCTTTCTACTGAACCCCTTTCAATTTTTCCTTTTTAGTTTTTGGCTTATGTTTGTTTTAGTTCTCTTACTATAACAACAAACTATCAAACTCATATTCTTCAAAATATATTTTTTCATGCAAATACTAAATATATTCTTGAGGGTGGAACCCCATTTAAACAATGTTTTGTGCCTCACTACTATATATTTTCACTTATTTTTTTAGTTTTTGACTTAAATAACCTACTAAATATATATTTGGTGCTCAATAAATCGTAAATCCGCTTCCAAATGCCTTATAAAATTTTCCTTAATGCTCACGGAAAATATTTCACAAAAATAAAAAATTTGCATTTTTGGCAAAAAAAACGTGGTTTACACTCATGTTTTTTAGTTGGTTTTTACAAATTTGTACATAAATCGTCGTTTAAACAATTTATTTTTAGATTCGCTTCAACATGAAGTTAAAAACTCAAAGTAATACTTTCCAGTAATATTCTTCAAGGTCGAACCCAATTTTAACAATGTTTTGGGCCTCACTGCTATATATTCCACTTATTTTTTTGTTTTCAAATTAAATAACCTACTAAATATATATTTGTTACTCAATAAATCGCAAATCCGCTACCAAATGCCTTATAAATTTTCCTTAATGCCTACTGAAAATATTTCAAGAATTTTTTTTTTTGCATTTTTGCAAATTCGTACATTAATCACCGTTCCATGAATTTATTTTCACCTTTGCCTAAATGTGAAGTTTTGAAAATTAAAGTGAGACTTTCCATTGAGATTCTAGAGGGTGGAACCCCATTTGTCAATGTTTTGGTCCTCACTATAGTCTTTTTCACCTCTTTCAGTTTTTGGCATAAATATTCCACTAAGTATACATTTGTTGCTCAATAAATCATAAAACCACTTCCAAACACCTTATAAATTTTTCCTTAAAACTCGTGGAAAATATTTCACAAAAATAAAAAATTTCATTTTTGACCAAAAAAATGTGGGTGTCATGGCTTTTAGTCGACTTTGCAAATTCGTACATAAATCACCGTTCAATCTATTTATTTTCACCTTCACCTCAATGTGAAGTTTTGAAAATTAGGGTGTGACTTTCCATTGAGATTCTTGAGGGTGGAACCCCATTTGACAATGTTTTGGTTCTCACTATTGTATTTTTCACTTTTTTTTTTCTTCAATTTTTGGCTTAAATATTCCACTAAGTATACATTTGTTACTCAATAAATCATAAAACTGCTTCCAAACACCTTATAAATTTTTCCTTAATGCTCGCGAAAAATATTTTGCAAAAGTAAATTTTATCATTTTTGACCAAAAAACGTGGGTTAACTCACGACTTTTAGTCGGTTTTGCAAATTTGTACATAAATCACCGTTCAATCTATTTATTTTTACATTCACCTCAATGTGAAGTTTTGAAAATTAAGGTGAGACCTTTCATTGAGATTCTTGAGGGTGGAACCCCATTGGACAATGTTTTGGTCCTCACTATTGTATTTTTCACTCATTTTTTCAGTTTTCGGCTTAAATATTCTACTAAGAATACATTTGTTGCTCAATAAATCATAAAAACACTTCCAAACACATTAAAAAGTTCTCCTTAATGCTCACATAAAATATTTACAAAAATAAAAATTTTCATTTTTTACCAAAAAAACGTGGGTTAACAACACTCACAATTTTTAGTCGGTTTTACAAATTCGTACATAAATCATCATTCAAACTATTTGCTCTTACCTTCGCCTCATCGTGAAATTTTGAAAATTAAGGTAAGACTTTCTGTTGTGATTCTTAACGGTGGAATCCCATTTGACAATGTTTTGGTATTCACTATTGTATTTTTCACTTATTTTTTCAATTTTTGGCTTAAATATTCTACTAAGTACACATTTGTTGCTCAATAAATCATCAAACTGCTTCCAAACACCTTCTAATTTTTTCCTTAATGCTCGTGGAAAATATTTCTCAAAAATAAAAATTTTCATTTTTGACCAAAAAACGTGGGTTAACACTCACGCTTTTTAGTCCGTATTGCAAATTTGTACATAAATCACTATTCAATCTATTTATTTTCACCTTCGCCTCTATGGGAAGTTTTGAAAATTAAGGGGAAACTTTCCATAGAGATTCTTGAGGGTGGAACTCCACTTGACAATGTTTTGATCCTTGCTATTGTAATTTTCACTTATTTTTTCAGTTTTCGACCTAAATATTCTACTAAGTATAGATTTGTTGCTCAATAAATCATAAAACTGCTTCCAAGCACCTTAAAAAGTTTTCCTTAATGCTCGCGGAAAATATTTACAAAAATAAAAAATTTCATTTTTGACCAAAAAAAGTGGGTTAACACTCACGAATTGTAGTCGGTTTTACAAATTCATACATAAATCATCATTCATACTATTTGTTCCCACCTTCACCTTATCATGAAATTTTGGAAATTAAGGTATGACTTTTCATTGAAAGTCTTGAGGGTGGAACCCCATTTGACAATGTTTTGGTCCTCACTATTGTATTTTTCACTTATTTTTTCAGTTTTCGGCTTAAATATTCTACTAAGTATACATTTGTTGCTCAATAAATCCTAAAACCGCTTCCAAACACATTATAAAGTTTTCTTTAATGCTCGCAGAAAATATTTCGCAAAAATAAAAAATTTCATTTTTGACCAAAGAAACGTGGGTTAATACTCACGATTTTTAGTCGGTTTTACAAATTCGTAAATAAATCATCGTTCAATCTGTTTGTTTTCATCTTCACCTCACCGTGAAATTTTGAAAATTAAGGTGAGACATTCCGTTGGGATTCTTGAGGGTGGAACCCCATTTGACAATGTTTTGGTCATCACTATTGTATTTTTCACTTATTTTTTAAGTTTTCGACTTAAATATTTTACTAAGTATACATTTGTTGCTCAATAAATCATAAAACCGCTTCCAAACACCTTATAAAGTTTCCCTTAATGCTAGCGGAAAATATTTCGCAAAAATAAAAATTTGCATTTTTGACCAAAAAAACGTGGGTTAACACTCACGACCCTATTTTTGACAAATTTTCTTAGTTTTCGATTTAAATATTATACTAAGTGTACATTTATTGCTCAAAAAGCTGTAAAACTGCTTCCAAATGCCTTATAAAGCTTTCTTGAAAGCTCACGGAAAATATTTTGTGAAAATAAAAAATTCGCATTTTTCACCAAAAAAAGGACGCACTCACGGTTTTTAGTTGGTTTTGTAAATTTGTATATAAATCATAGTTCAATGTAATTATTTCACCTTCGCCTCACTGTGAAATTTGTATGACTTTCCGCTGATATTCTTGATGATGGAACCCCATTTGAACAATGTTTTGAGCCTCACTGCTATATTTTTCATTAATTCCTAGTTTTTGGCTTAAATAATATATTGAATATACATTTATTACTCAATAATCCATAAAATCGCTTCGAAATGCCTTATAAAGTTTTTCTTAATGCTCACAGAAATATTTCACGAAAATAAAATAAAAAAAAATTATTTTTAACAAAAAACATGGGTTAACACACTCACAGTTTTTATTTGATTTTGCCAATTCGTACATAGATAGATCACTATTCATCCTATTTATTTTCACCTCCCCCTCACATAAAGTCTTGAAAATTAAAGAAAGACTTTTCGTTGATATTCTTAAAGGTGGAACCCTATTTCAACAATGTTTTGAGCCTCACTACTATTTTTTTCACTAGTTAAATATTATACCAAATATACATTTATTGCTCAATACACCGTAAAACCGATTCCAAATGCCTTATAAAGTTTTCCTTAACGCTCATGAAAAATATTTTGCAAAAAAAAAAAAAATGTATTTTTCACCAAAAACATGACCCACCCCATCCCACCAAAAAAACACTCACGGTTTTGCAAATTTGTACATAAATCATCATTCAAATTATTTATTGCTTAATAAACCTTTAAACCGCTTCCAAATGTACTAAATATACTAAATGAACCGTTAAACCTTTAAACCGCTTCCAAATATACTAAATATACATATATTTTTCACTTATTTTCTTAGTTTCACGTTCGCTTGGCATTAAAGTAAAGCTTTCCGTTGATATTTTTGAGAGTGAAACCCGATTTTAATAATGTTTCGAGCCTCGTTACTTCAATTTTCTATTAAATATGCCATACAAAGTCGTCAACAACATGCTCATAAAAAATATTTCGCAAAATAATAACATTAGTCAATTTTACAAACAATGTTTTAAGTTAACAAGGTTATTATTTTCAAATATCAATCCTTAGACCTCTTAATTAATTAAGTTGCCAAGATAAGAAATGCACCACCAAACAAATCAACCGACCAAAACTGGAATTGAAATCGGTTACACAATTAAGCAAATAAAATTATGAAACGAAATTATACAACACAAAAGCCGGACCAAAATTGGAAAAGTTGTGATTTTTTAGAGCTGCCGGCCGGCGGCATCAGCAACAAAGGGCAGGTACGGAGTCCGACCCAAAATGCAGTTAACCAAACCATAAACGAAGCAGAAAACGCTGAACACGAAAATACCATTATGCCCCCAAACCATGAGCTTGTACCCCAACCCGGCCCTACCCGGACTGAAAATCCTCTGGAGCAGCAGCGGCAGTACCAACAGGACGTCCAGCGTCACCGCCTGCATCGCGTTGAACCGCACGTAGTGGTTGAAGCTTGGGTTTCTGACGACGCCCAGGTAGAGGGCAAAGAAGGCCACGAAGCTCGAGTACGGCATCGACCGATAGAGGCTCAGCAAGGGGATCAAGGGTTCGAAGAGGAGGCCCAATTTGGGGAATTGGATAAACAGGTAGCGTCCATACTGGAGGGAGTTGAAGAAAGGGAGGGTGTAAGCGACAGCGGAGATCAATCGATCCGTGGCGGGGGTCGGTGTGCTGCAGGTGATGGCGGAGGATTTGGGTTTGGATTTTCGGCTGACAAGTTGAGGGAAGGAGAGTGACCGGGTGGAGAGGGTTGAGGGGAAAGCGCGCGACGCGGAGGAGGGAACGTAAGATTTGGGGATTAGGGTTTTGGGGGTGGCGGAGAGTTGGAGGAGAAAGGCCATAGCTGCTAGCTGCCAGGTTTGGGGTTGCTTGTGTCGTGTTGTGTGAGAAAATCAAAGTGAAAGTGAAGAGAAAGATTTGAGAATTGGGCTTGGATGTTTTAATTGTCACTTTATTGGGCTGGAAACTGAGGCCCAAATTGAGCTTGTTTGATGGACAATCTTTGACGGTAAAATGAAACAGAGACGATATTATTTTGTACATAACTGTACCGCCTCTAATTGGAAGGTTTCACTGCCATTGTGGCATCCCGGTTTAATCATGGAAAAACTCAACATAGTAATACATTATTTGATTAGGACGCTAGGTGGTGACGAATACATTTTATGTAAATCATTCCCTTTGTTCTCAAAACTGGTGTGGCTAACAAAGGTTGAATGAGTGAATGTTTCTCCTTGTTGGACTTGAGCTTTGCAAACAAATGATCATAGACACAACTTAAATGGTTCTCCTTCAAAACTGGACTATGTCCACTGAGTTTCTTGGATAAATTTGGGAACAAGGTTACAAGTAGCACTTGGCTAGAATAGGTCATGGGCTTGATTGCTAAGAGGACGCTCTGAGGCCATGGGCTTCATGAAGCGCTCAGCTTCACTTTTCCATGCTCATTGGACCTCGACTTTCCTTTGAACCTATGTTCCTTTGGATTTGTCGGGGTCGGATAGGCCCCTGTTAACAAGTCTCTCAACTCCTTGTCCAAGGACTTTTCTTAGGCAGGGAGTTGCATAGGTCAATTGGGGTTTGAGGGTGGCACCTGGGTGTTGTGTAGCCTTCCCAGTATAGGGTGCCTTTAGTGATTGGCTTCTTCATCTGTGATCACTTGGAGTAGAATCCTATCAATCGCCAGACTCATGAGTTGGGAGCTAGTGCTGTTAAGAACACGTGCTTGGAGCACATGTCCATTGCAGGTGAGTGGCGGAATCGAGGTGGCCCTGTATTTAAGGTGCAATAGACAGGCGTGACCTCATAACTCGTGAAGTTGTTTCACATTCCCTTTGCTTCAAAGATTGAGTAAGTGGGCCTCCACATCAGGATCTAGTCGTTTTGGTGCTTTTTTTTACCAACAACTGAGATTGTGTGCTCTGGGCTATATAAATTCCTTCCTTCTGGTGGAATGCCTACTTCATTCTGCCTTCTTCAACTGAAACTCTATCGAACCCGAGACCATTTCTTGTGACCTAAGTCTTACCAGTTACAAGCCTCAAACCTCTTTCTCTAAATTTTCTCAGGTTAGCTCCTTGTGCTTGTACTTTTTTCTTTTGTTTTTCCTTTAATATAGTTAGCTATGGTTTGGACAACATTATGAATTTTATGTTGTGGGTTGCCACTAACGTCAATGGGGACCAAATCTGGCTAGTTTAGTTCGTAAAGTGGGGTAAGGCATCCTTTATGACTTAGTGGTGGAGGCCACTGTTTGGAGTTGTAAGTGTGAAAAAATCACGGCTCATTTGTTTAACAATTTGGTAAGAGTCAATTTGTGAATCTAAGAGTTAGAGAGCAATTTAGGAGAATCTTTTCCTTTGGCTAGATTTGAGGCATGATTGTTCACACTATATTGTCATAAGGTATAGCTTGATGTTCAAGACATTGGTGAAGTGCTAATTCAAATTTTTGGTTTGCTTATTTGAGCTTTGCATAGATCTTTTGGCTCGTATCTATTAGTTTCCATAATGAATTTGTTGGAGAACATTTCAAGTTTTGAAGACTTTTGAATTTTTTGAGTCATGGTGGATGTCAATTTTCAAAGGAATTTGGTGCATGTTTACGTTTGTATTTTGGTATCCCAATTGGAAGTGTGTATTTGATTTGGAAGTTTGTTGATTTCTCGTCGAGGTGGAGTTTGTTGTGATTTACAGCTCAAAATCAGGATGGTTTAGAAATTAAGTTTGTATTACCTATTTTGTTTTGGTCCTATTGGGTTTGGATTTGACTTCTTGATTGAATTCTTTGTTTGGTGAATAGATTTTGTTAATTACCTATTTGTTTAGATTTGTATTTACTCCCAATTATAATTAGGATTCTCATTGTAACCTAAGTCATATTCATAATTAATAGGATCATAGGGTTAGTTCATTTTGTGCGCCTCACCATGGTTTACATATATTTTTCTCTTTTAGTTTTGGGTAGAGGTCACCGTTTGGACTTGAGAGTGTGGTAAATTCATGGCTCATTCATTTAGCAATTTGGTGACAATCAATTTATGAATCTGAGAGTCAGATAGCAATTTGGGAGAAAATTATCAGTTTGTTGGGTTCTATACTTGTTTGGTTTAGAGTTTGTAATTTATGGGACTTGGGTTGTGAAAGTTTAAACACTTTTTTGTAATCTCCATTTTTTTAGTGAAATTCCTTGACGTGCTTCGCTCGTGGACTTAGGCTTTACGTCAAACCACGTTAATCTCTTGTGTTTTTATTTAGAGATTGTTTGTTTTTTCGTTTTCGCTTACGATGCTGATATTTGTACTTGCGTTTTCTTCCGCTTGCTCATAAAAGTACACAACAAGGCCTTTTCTGATGAACTTTTCAAGTCATGTGTTCAATTGCCTCTCCACCCCTTCTTTATAGAGTTCTTGCTCATATAAGCCTAGCTCTACACTAACTCAACTTGAACACCATTTGTTTTTTCCTTAGCATGTATGTGCTCTAGAAAAAGCACCATCAGACAAAGCCAGTCTCAGCCTGGTCAAACACTGTTATAAGCTAAGAAATAGTTCTGGTCAGGTCGAGTTCTGTCACGTGCTCGACCCGTGCTTGCTTTTAGCCGATAATCCCTCCAACCAGTGATCGTACAAGGAGAACTAATTCTTCATTGGCGAAAACTGGAGAGCTTCGTGATGATGATGTTACAGGCGCTCGGGTCACCAAGAGTTTTAGGGCGAAGGGTAAGAAACAACATAAGTGGCAACTTGGTGGTTCCTGTCTTAAATGTCTTCTATTTTTTTTTTCTTTATTTATTGTAGAAGACTGGCCGAAAAAGGTTTCTTTCTCATAAGATGAGGGCTTCAACTAACGATGATCACCTCTTTATGTTCGGAAGAGCTTTCAACCGATGCAATACTGATCGTCGTCTAGATGCCACAATCTTCTACTAGGTAAACCATGTTGGACCCCGACACTTGCCGTTATCTTTTTTTTTTTCTATTCATTCCCATAACTTATGTTCTTAACGAGCCTTAATACCTTCGTCATTTTATTCACCTTATGTACTTATAGTTGACCTTTGTCCCATAGAGGGGGAGATGGCTAAAATGAACATGGAGGCCGAAAAGATCACTTGTCAGGTGATAGGGAAAAGCTCGGAATAAGTTGGTCGATCATGAAGGGCCAAACGCCTCATCGAGTGGTCACGACCTTTTTATAGGAAATGTACCACATGATTCCTCCAGCCCTCATGGGGGAAGGTTGGCCTAAAAAAGCCCAATTGTGAGCAACTCCAATACTCTGATCGCTAAAAAGCAGGCACTCGGTTCTTCTGCTCATCTTCGCCTAGAGAGGCTTAGGTCAAACGCTGAGTTGGTCGTATAATCAGGGATCATTTTGACAAAGAGATAGACACGTTATTGTCTTTCTGCATGGGCTTCTCCAAGGAGACGATGTCTCTAATGACGCAGTTAGCGAAAACGACAACATGTCCAACGAGCAGATAACATTTGCCTTCGACCTAACGTCGGGTAAACATCCTCCTTTTATTTGACATTTTCTATTCACGGCTATATTCTCTTATTGTTGAGATTTCCTTTTTAACTTCTTATGCATCTTGTGTTCGCACACTATTAAGCGCTTAAGTGGCCTTTCAAACAAAGGAAACAAAGGAAACAAAGCACTAGTCATGAACAAGTTATGAATGAGCTGAATGAGGCTGTGAAGGAAAAAAAGCAGGAGCTTGGGTCTTCTAGCTGAGTGATTGAGGCTCCCAACCTCAAGAATGCCCGGTTTAAGCAGCAAATAGAGCAGGTTGAGAATGAGCTAAGTAAGGCTTCATGTGACAAGCTTCAAGCAAGCTTTGAGCTGGGGGGCTAAGGACGCATTTCGAGCCCTTTGGGAAGAGAATGAACGCATGTAAAAGACCCATCAATACACTATGTCCAACAACAATCTGGACACGAGTGATTTTCTCCAAGACTTATGAGGGTGTCAAGTTCTACAGTTGCCTTTGTCTCCAAGTCGACTTAGAGTTTTACAAAAAGATGAAGGTAATTTTCCCTGACTATGTCATGGATGTCAAAATGACAAGGAAGAAGGCTCCGACCAAGAAAGGGTTGAGGACAGGTCGTGGTAAAAAAGCCCACTGCCACCAACAACATCGTTTTCCAACTTCCTAAGCCTACTGCTTAGCCTGGCCTTGAGCCCACCAGTGCTTAAACAACTAACCCTGAGGTCGATCAGCTCGAGAAAGAAGCCCTGTCGTCTAGGACATGCTAGACTATGCTTTATGGGTTTTTTATTTTTATTTTTTATTATATATATATATATATATAATTTTATTAAGTGTGCCTTTTTATTCCTTTATCGCAATGAGGATGTTTGTGGGAACATGGGTTAACTTTACCATGACAGCGAAAGTTAATTAAAGTTTCATTAAGTACATAGTGGTCGAGTACATTTGTGCGTGCAAGCTTTTTAGTGTGGCAAAGACCAATGTGGCTAATTTTGTTTTTCAACAAAACTTTTTTCATTCAAAAAAAGAAAACATATCCGCACATAAGCCACTTGCACCTCACACAAAAAACGTGGGCAAGTCTTCTATTTCCATTTAGTGGTGTAATACCCCTGCCACCTTACTAGAGACGTGATCTTGTTCCTATCACTTTAGAAAATAACAAGATAACCAAATATGGTATGTTGTTCCTACCATTATCCAACTTGCTCGACTTGCGTTGAACAGCGAGCCTTTTGAATTCTCCCACCCATGAGTTGCCCGACATGTTTTTAAAAGACTACCCTCCGAACATTTGATATTCAATAGGTAAATCGATAAGTCTTCCTTGGTAACCGATCAATCATTGGTTTGACGCTGATTTGTCTAGAGTTGCCTTGAAAATGAATAGGGTGCACATGGCCC